ATTGTATTAATGAATATAAATTTTGAATAAATTATATTATTTTTAACAGGCCGTAGGAAAAGGAGTCTTTTTCCCGATCAATGAAATGAAAAGGAGTGAGTAGAAAAGAAACTCAAAATTATGTAAAAAGTACTATGAATTATAATAATTAATAATTTAAATATTTTTAAAACATATATAAAATTTGTTGGGCTCTCAAAATTTTATGTATGCCACATAAATTGGGACAATATATTATTTAAAATAACGTAAAAATATTATAAATTACAATAATTATTTTTTTTATGTATATGTAGTAGATGTGAAATTCCCTTTGACTTCTTTGTATATTTATTTCTTCATATTTTGAACCCTTTGTAAGATAGAACTGCAATAATATCTTTTTTGGTCTGGTTAGGTTTGCCTCTTCTGTTCCACTCCAAAACCATATTGTTGCTTCTTTCCTTAGTATATAACTGAATAATATCAATTTTCAACCAGCCCAAATTTTTCTTTTTCATATCTCAATACAATAACATTGTAAGGATCACCAAATGCTGAAACATTGCCTGGCCTTGAAAATACAATCTACAAAGATAAGAAGCACCACTTGATCAGTTGTTTTACTTCTTAGATTTGGTGAAACAGTTTCAACATTCTTAGTTTAAAAAAAATTGGAGAGAGAGAGATAGATAGATAAATAGATAGATATTATCACGTAATTTTACCTATTGCTTCTTAACCTTTCATATTCTTTATTCATAAAAGTTTAAATGTTTCTATATTAATACTTTTCTATTCTTTGTTAATGGTTAATACAAGAAAAAAATTGGAGAGTCCCTACTAATTTTCTTCAATACCTCTATTTAAAGTGGAGTAATTTAGTTTCAATTTCTCTTTATAAGGAAATTAATGAAAAAGATGAAATTTGAGTTATCAACAAAGTTGTTACCATGAAGAGTGAAGCTAATCATAATAAGATTATACTACCTCCGTCTCATATTAGATAGGCATCTTATTAGAAGTATTTATCTTATATTATTTGATCACTTATTAAATCAAAATATAACTAATTTTTTTCCTCATTTTACCACTAAAATAATATGAATTTGGAATTTAAACAAATTTTGAAGACCCAGATTTTTTCAAGAGACTAATTAATATGAACAAAAAGTAAAATAATAAAATTAATCAATGTATTAATAATTTATTAATAACCATGTAAAATAGAAAATGTCAATTTTTATTATAAAGTCAGTAACACATGCATTTTGAATAAGTCATTTCGATTTTTTAAACCACATCTTTGCAAGGGGACTTTAAGAGAAACGTGGCATGATGGATACCTATGACTACACTTGGTAAACTAGAGTCCCAAGTGACAAATCAAGAGCAAGGAAAAGTCCAATTTAATTTGTCCTTTTAAATTTTAAATTTTATTTTTCACCCCGCATCCTTATTTATGTTGAAACCCGACTAAATTTTGAGTCGTGTAAAAAAAAACAAAAAATAAAGGATATTTATTCATGCAAATGTGCTTTTCAGACATGATACTTAATAAGAGCCGATTTGGATTGACTTTTCAGTTTTGGCTTATTTTTATCAGTTTACCTTAAAACTATTTATAATTTTTTTTTAAAAAAATTATTCAAATACTATAAAACTGCTTAAAACTATTTTAACTTTAAAATACTTAAAATAAGTCAATGCAGAACACATGTTGATGCCATTTTTCTTGTATTAAGTGTTTCATTGATGTTAATGTAAATATTTATTTTCCTAACTTTATAAGAAATTAATGAAGTTTATTATGATACACTTTCAGCTCATCTTAATAGAGGTTTTCAGACACACCGTCAAATAGTAGTTATAACTTCATGATTTATTGAGATGTTTTCCATTTAACTATTTAAGTAAAGATTTGAATTTACGTGCATCTTTCAAATTCAGACATTCAACATATAAATCTTAGTGTCATGCTAGACCATGAATTAGTTTGGAGTCGTTTCTAATTTTAAGTAGTGTATTACGACTAGGGATAGTCTCGAATTAAATGTTCCTATTTCATAGAGTATAAGAGAATGCCATAATTAAGCATGATACATATCTTTCATTATTTGCAAACAAAGGGAATTATTATAAACTCTAATAAGCTAAAGGAACACCAAATGCTTCAACATTGCTTGACCTTGAAAATACAATCTACAATAATAAATAGACCAAATTAATTATATATTTTACATGTCAAAGTAGTACTTCCATGTCCTGATGAACTCGTCATCGAATCCTAAAGCACGAATTTGGCTATTGACAGAGTTATATATCAATAGTCAAGTTAATAGTATTGGCATAGCCAGAAATTTCAGGAAGGATATCTAAGTTATAGTCATTTGGTTACCTTTTGTTTTTCAGGAAGTTTTTTCGCCAACATCTGAGTTGTCTGATAGTAATGAATACTTATCTCTTCCAGATTCTTGTTAGAGTTTTGCCCTGATTTTCTTATCATATTTGAGTTTTACTTTTTCCGAAAGAAAAAATATAATTCACTTTCATATTTGATTTATTCTTTCTTTAGAGGAAAAAATTGGAGATCTATAAATTGAAGATTCCTATTCTCATAACATCCACAATGTAGTCATTTAAGAGTATTGTTTATGGAGAGATTTTCTCCTAAACATATTTATAAAAAAATTTAATATTAGTTTTCAATACGTAGATCGCTTGACAAACTATATTAATAATATTTCTTTAGTATGTTTATAGTTGTCGTCTAATTTATAATCAACCATTTGATTTGCAATTGTAATTTTCCTTTGGATTTGATGTAGCTCACGTGAAGCTTTTGATGCAGCAAATGAGGGGACTGGGTGGCCTGTTGTCCATTATTGTATGATTGGTAATTTCTATTGGAATTTAATGGCAAAACTTCAGCACAGTGTGCTGAAGTTTCATAGGTAAAAGATTTGAATTTTAGCAAAATTCACCAGTAGAGTTTTCAAACTCATCTGTAAAAAGCTTGGAACTCCCAACATATTATACACATGTACATTTTCACCATATATAACATCCCAAAATAAGATCAAGACGAAAAATAGCCTCATTCTTTTTGAATAAGTTTTATTAGGCAATACCGTACAAGAAAATCACATAATTCAGCATGAACTAATGAGACTGATATGTCTTCATTAGGACTTTCATGCAGTTTTGAGGAACTTATTTATTTGCAAAGACAAATTTACAATATATAATCGAAACAACGAAACTCTAATACACTGTAGACACAGTAACATTGTAAGGATCACCAAATGTTGCAACATTGCCTGTCCTTGAAAATACAATATACAGAGGTAAGAAAGCACCACTTGATCAGTTGTTTTCCTTACAAATTTGGTGAAATAAATAAAAATTTGTTCTGTCTAACGGCTTAAGTTTTTTTAATAAAGTCATTCAAAACAAGATACTCAAAATTTATATCATCTCTAATTACTTAATTTTTAGATGATCTAGTTAACATAATTTAAAAGATTTATCACCATATATACCTGATAATCTCCAAATGTGCGTGTTTTGAATCCAGCAGCACAATAGTCAAAGTAGTACTCCCATGCCCTAATGAACTTGTCATCGAATCCCAAAGCGTGAATTTGTCTAGTGACACAGTTATACATCAATAGTCTAGTTAACAGTGGCGTAGCCAGAAATTTCATGAAGGGTGTCCAAGTTATAAGCATTTATTTTAGTTTTGTTACCTTTTGTTTTTTAGGAAGTTATTTCGCCAACATCTCAGTGTCTGATAGTAATGAATTCCTATCTCTTCCACATGCACTACACTGCATTTGTTTATATCATTTATCAAATTCTTTCAGAGAAACTCTTTTGAAAGATTGGCAAGTGCGCTAGTGCAAAATCACTAAAATGAACTCTTTGTTACCATAGTCTGGATGCAGCAGCCATGACTGATATTATTCGACTTAGTGCAGGCAAGCATCCACCTGGGAATATATACTCTCTCATGAAGTCTGTGCTCTGCCTGTGACTGTCATACCTCTCATCTGGTATTGAAAAGAACTAAGTAGATCCAAAGCTTATGAGAAACAACATAAAGATACAAAGGCAGCAGAACAGTGAAGGAAATTGAAGGGTAAAACTGAACAAAGTGGACTATATTGAGGGTTCACTTTTATTCATTACCTGTAGAACTAGAAGCCCATCTTCTGCCAATGCAGACTCACAGCAAGTAAAGAATTCCTCTATGTAATCATGACCGACATGTTCTATCATCCCGCTGAAAATGAACTAGTACAATTGTAACACTGACTCGACATGTAGTGAGTAATACAATATGTCAAGATGTAGATGGAGAAAAGCTCACATTGATATAATCCTGTCATATTTGTCCTTATTTGGCATTTGACGATAGTCACATAGGAGTAAGGTGATTTGATCCTGTGAAAATATATCATGGAACTGAATTTTAATAGATCGATAACCCTAGCCTTAGAATTGGCTTGCAAGTGCTAAACAGATCATGTGGAATGCAGCATATAGTGTAGCATTTTAGTTAATTTTGCATCATAACTTCTCTACCCTGGCTTTTTAAGGAGCTCTCACAGTTCAAAAAGCAAGAATATGGATAAAGGTTTAGTTCATGAAGTGGAATTTCCTCGTAGCTTTATCGATTTCCTCATCTTATAGCAATTATATTCATACAATCAGAAATACTGTAAGGCTATTATATTGTCCAAGCTCCATATAGACATTATAATTAGTACTATACCTGAAGGCCTGCTTGCTCAACTTTCAACTGTGCATACTCCAGTTGCTGCTCCGAAAGAGTTATACCAGTATATTTACATCCTGTTTGCTTGACAACTTCCACCGCAAAACTTCCCCAACCAAATCCAATCTCTAAAATGTGATGTTTCTTGCTAATTTTTGCCTAAATAAAACAGAAACAGAATCCAAATATGCCTGAAAGTTAGGTATAAACAGGAGAGTTTTTAACTTGGTTGATGAAATACCTTTTTAATTAGAACAGAAATCTTTCTCAGCTGTGCATCTTTCAGGTCTTCGTCCTCACTCTATAAAAATTCGGAAAGAATAGGTAACGTCCGGCGATTTGAAATAACTATGAAAAAGCTTAGAACTTGGAAATAGTCTTTTTGGAAAAAATTAAAAATCTGGAAATTTGGCCAAGTATGGAAAATAATGAATTTTTGGCCAACTTTGAACAGTAATAACTCCTAGCTCAGGATGATTTAGGTGTAGTTCCAGTCATGTTTGCAAAGTACGTGGAATAATCTTTCCAATGCCGCTTATTTTTCACGTTTCCGAGTTCGTATGTGTGAGTTATGCCCTTTCGAAGTTGGGCAGTTGGCAGGGAATCCGTCCGGAAATTGTAAGGGTATTTTGGTCTTTTTCCCTAGCCTTGTCTTTGTATATATATTAAGGTGTAAGACTTATTTTTGATCAGTTTTTCTTTTTTTTTTAAAAAAGAGTAAGAGTTAGGGTTCTTGAGAGAAAAGGAGAGAAAGGCAAAGAAGAAGCAAACTTCGTAAAGATCGTTGTGATTTTCTTCGGGGGTGATCCCTATTAAGGTATGTGAGTTCATAGTGTTGGGTTGGTTCTTTCCCCCACACGCCAAGCTCGTTTAATTTCGAGAAAAGATTGAATGTGTTGTGTTGAAGTTGTAGTTGTGTTGTGTTGAAGTTCTTGTTGGTTTGGTGCATGTTTCAGGTGGTGTTTCGGAGTTGATTCTATTGTATGTTGAGAGGTTTGTGATTTTAAGTGTTTGGGGCTGGAAACTTTGAAGTATAGAAGGTTTAGAGTTGGAGAAAACTAAGGAGAAAAGTCAGTTTTCGGGGAAAAAGGGTGGGGCGTCGCGCCTGTCAGTGCGCCCCAAGAGGAGCTCTGAACTTTTCCCCTTGGGGCGGCGCGCCCATCAGAGCGCCAGCAGGCCTCCTCTGAAGGTTGAGGTCTGGCGCTCCGCGCCTCTCAGAGCGCCAAGTTTTCCCATTCCTTCTCCACTTTCTCATGCATGTTCCTAGGTATTGTACCTATGTTCCCAAGTTGTTTCCAACCTTTCAAGGTATGTCTAAACATCAAGAACTCGTCCATAGAATGTGATCAAACACCTTGAATTCATAAATCCAATTCAAGGAGAGTTAGTTTCCAAGTCAAGTGAAGTTAAGAGTTAAGCTTGGAAGCTAAGAAGCAAGTTTTTAAAGTTATTCAAGAGTTCTTTATTGAATGTTTTAACTTCATTTTAAGGCTCAAGTTTTCAAGTTAAGTCAAGAGTTAAGTTAAAAGTTTCAAGTTGAGTTCATTTCTCAAAAGTATTAGGGAACTATGTATTCCCAAAGAAGTTTCTAAATGTTTTTACATTTGAGTAAGAAACGGAACTATGATTCCAAAAGAGCCTTTGGGCTAGTTTTCAAGAAAAAGGAACATCGATTCCAAGTGAGCCTTCGGGCAAAAATTTTGAGTAATTATCTCAAATAAAGAAAGATGTGTTTAAAACACTTATGAGCTAAGTATTTTTGGGAGTAGTCTTGAGCACCGAATTGGGGACACGAGTTCATATAAACTCAACTCTCCATAAGAACCATGCGCCAACATGGGAGATAACGGGTCATACTTTTTAGATGAACTCGTAAGATTAAGCTAGTGGATCCACTTGGTAAAGTTAGATTCCTATATCACGGCAAAGTATAGGATGGTCCTTGGGCAACGTGAGGTAAAACGTTGTATCACCACTAGGGCTCATAATGGTGATTGTCGATTGAAAGAGTCTCCCACTAAAGTTATATTACTTTTATATAAGTATAGTTGAGTTTTTATTGTTATATCTTTAACAAAGCTAAGTTGTTTACACTATTTTACAAGCTTTATATATTGCATGTGTCTTATTGCTATATATATTGAGTTCAGTCATTCATGAGTTGAACAGAGCCAAGGTAAGAGTTCCTTTGTACTCTTTTCAAGCTTAAGTTGTGGTTTAGCTTTCCAGCTCGCATACTCGTACATTCAATGTACTGATGCCAGTTGGCCTGCATCTTATTATGATGTAGACACAGGTACCCAGGGTCAGCATACTGCACGCCGTTGATCCAGCTGAGCATTCCAGAGTCAGTGGTGAGCCTCCTTGTGTTCCGGAGGACTCGATTATATTATTCTCTTAGTTGTGTTTTATTAGGATGTTGCGGGGTTTGTCCCAGCATCCATCTCAATGATGTAGAGGCTTCATAGACAGTCAGTCAGTTGGTTTTGAGTCTCTCATCTATGTATATATGTAAATATTTTATTTTGAGACTCGAGTTGCCTTTTTGGCCAGATTTTATTTCAGTCAGGTTGTTTTAAAAACCTTGCATTGCATTGAGTTATTCCGCTGAGTTAAGAAAGCCAGACCAAGGGTTCAATTGGGGGCCAGCAATGGTCTTCGAGTGCCAGCCACATCCAGGGTGTAGGCTCGGGGCGTGACAGAATAATAGATTATTAGATTACCTTGGAACAAGAAATGTAGCTTAACATACAAAGAAAAAAGTGGCAAGCATTTAAAAAGTTTGGAGAGCTAACCTTGAAAATTGCGCATGAGTATGTCATTGTCTCATCCAGAATGAGTGAAAAGAGTTCATTACTCTGGAAAAGAAAAAAATACAAGAAGGAAGTGATAAATCTACTGCAATTGGCAAAAGTATGTGCAGGATTAACTACTTTAATTTCACTAGCAATCTTTGACATTGGGTGATATAATATGCAAGTTGATTAATTACCAGGTCATAATGACGAGAGATATTCCGACGAGCCTGAGTCAGGGTGTTTCGATTTGAAACATGTCCAATGAAATATTTTGCAGATGACAGATCTAGTAGTGGTGTCCACCAGCCTCTAGAGCCACACAAAATGATGACAAACTTTAACATATGAACACAAGTTTGTGTTTTTTGATTTCAGGTCAGTAAGTAAACTATTTTACCTTTTAACAGATGCATTCAAATCTCTGTTGGCAACATATATCTGCAAAAGATATTAGGAAGCTAAGTACCGATAAATATCTATTTACAAAGATATCGAGCCATTCCCTCACCATGAAAAGATTAAGAAGACCTTCATTCTTATTAACAAAGGAGATATCCCCATGAATAAAAGCATCAGCAATCCCTAGGTCAGCTCGAGTTGCAACCTGTAAGAGATTGGTTAAGTTTTTGATCACTTGTTGGGGCAAAGGAAATTTCAATTTACCTTCCAGTAGAACTGTGTATTATGAACTCTAAGAGAAACTTTGAGAGAGCATTTCTTCTCTGTTCCTTGGAAGGTGAAAATTTTGCCTCCTTCCTCCAACAAGCTGTATATCATAACATATAAATAAAGTTATTAAAAGCTCAAAAATCTTCCGAGTAATATTCTGGCGTTAGCATGAATGATAAAGTCAATTTTGAAGCTATGAATAATATAATAACAAAAAGTACATATGTGTATCCTGTTTGGGATTAAAGTAATACAAGGTGAAACTATCATCACTCACATTATGCATCCTGTTTGAATGAAACTTTTGAGAAATCTAGTAACGAGGAGGCGTGCTCCAGTTTCAGGCCAGGTTGGTACCATATGCTTGGGGTTGTCTAGAATACAACAATTCCTTCTAAGCATGCCATCTGCAGCAGCCACACCAGCCTGAGGAGGACAATCATCTATATAAGAACAAAAACTGCAAAAGGCTCCAAATTTGTTTTTAGCTTGTTATTAACAGAAGTAGTATGTACTACCTTAAGTCCATCCTCATGGAAGCCATAGCCTGAAATATTGCAGTAAAATATACATCAATAAACAGTGAAGCACAAAGCGGAAAATAAAGTTTGTGCACTAAAGGGAAGTGGAAAGAAAACTAAAATTCTCTCTGCGAAAATAGCTTGGCAGCTAGTTTAGTCCCCTAAATATCGATTTCATCAAAATAGAAACGTAATTGGGATAAACAGATTCAAATTAAACTTATAAGCTGAAATATTACAGGACTAACAGTTAGAGAAACTGGTTCACTAAATTGAACAAAGTTGAAGAGTCCAACTGTAGACTATGCACAAAAGCAGGTTACAAGGGAACAGATATCTTGAAGCAACTCTCAACACTCTGCTTAAAAAGAGATTCATACCTTGATATGCTCCACAAAACCATATTCCTCTCTTTCCTTGGATTTGATATAGCTCACATGAAGCTTTTGATCCAGCAACTGAGGGTACTGGATGACTGGTGGTCCACTTAAGCAACGTATGCTCTGGTGTGTGAGGAGGATCAAGGGTTACGAGATAAGGCAGCTTTGAATCACCAAGATTCTGTAAGTTTAGACAGTTCACAATTTAAGAGAAATGACTTCCAACTGAAAACATTATCTTCTAGTTTCTATACAAGGTCCTAAATCACTGTATTCCATAACACACCTGGATTATATTGAGCCAATATGTCGCACATCCTCTACTATTCGTGGTTCCAAGAAAGTTACAAGCACACCATGTTGTTGGGTTGCGAGGCAGGAATGTTTTGTCATGATGAAGGAAAACGTCACTGTCACAGAGGAATGTAGAATTTTAGAGGCAGAATGGAGGCTAACTATATTAATCTTGGCCTCCAATACAAATTTCATATTAGCTCAGAAATCTAGCAGGTTGTAGAATCTAATTGAACTTCACCAAACCACAAAATAAAGCTCCTCTGGTAACAGAAAATACAAATATATAGACAACGTAAGTGATGTCGGGCTATAGATAAAAATTCAAAAGAGATAAAAAGTAGAATTAAAGAGGAATGAAATCCAAGGTATTCAAATACAGGAGTCGAAAGTACCTATAGACATACTGGAAAGCACCCAGTATTCTTGTTTCATCAAATGTTACCTCTTTGCCTAACATTCTCAGAGAATCTGGAGCACGTACAGCGATTATGCATCCGTCATATACATCTGTGGCACCATCAATGCAATCTATGGTACAACCTGCAGGAAAGGCAATTTCATTTACAGTTAGAATCACAAGTAGTTTGTAGCGCACAGCGAACTCTTGCAAGAAGCCAAAAGATAAAATCAAGCTAGACCTTCTTCATTTGTTGTTACAGAATTTACTTCACAATTAGTTCTTATTTGGCAGCCTCTCTTTTCCAGCTCCTCCTTAACCTGCGTTTGATACTGCCATCGAATCACTCTCAAGGATGTACATGCTTAACTTAACAAATCACAGAAATGAGTAAGAACTTTGAAGTATCTATGAATGAAAAATCACCTTGTCTATATGTGATTGCCATCTTACAGTGAGCAATTGAGGGAGACCAAAGAGCTACAAAGAAAGAAATAAAAGCACCCTTAGGTACAAGGGCAATAAGATGAGTAAAAGCTAAGCATTCCAATTCTGTATTTGCGTGCACCACATTTAACAATTGGCTATAATCAACACACAAAGTGTTCAGAACTGTAGCTAAGAGAAAAGAACCTGCAGAAGATGTTGGTCGTGGAAGAATGAAAGAATGTAATAAGCAGAAAAGCCCATTACTCGTTCCAAGGAGCAGGACCATACTGAAGCACATATTGGAGCCTGTGAAACATATGTGTCAATTGCTTGTTGCAAGATTAATTTTTTGAATGAACAAAAAAGGAAAAAATTATACTAGTATCAAAATCAATAACAAGGACAAACTGCAGTGTCACACCAGATAAGCCTTCTGAAATAGCTCCGAATAGCCATGTGACTTAATAAATTGTCCTAATGTTTCATTGCGATCAATGTCAGGATTGTTGTCCAATTCTTCGAGGTGACTGCAATGCAGTGAGAAACGTAATCGTGATACAATAAACTTCATTGAAGATAGATCTTTCGCTTAACACATAAATAAAGCAAGTGCCCAAAACAGAACGATTTAGTCCATTTCCATCTAATGCATGATCTTCAAATGAACAAAGAAACTTATACATGTGCTCTAAATTTCTAATGAGATGAGTAAATTAACAGAATACTCAAAAATTAACATATGTAATGAAATAAGTTATTGGTACCTTATGACATCCTGTTTGAATCTGATAATTTCTCTAATCATTTGCCAAAAATATGGATTCAGTACATTCTTCTTCTGTGCAAACAAACTAGAGAATCCATTTCGGGTACCCCATTCACAACCACGGCCTTGGTCTAAGCTCACTGAGAATGACATATCAGACACCTCCACATCAACTCTGAGCAACTCAAAAATTTCTATCAGGTTTGAATAAGTTTCCTGTAAAATCATATGAGAGTAATAATGTCACTTGTTAAATATTAATCGGAGAGTAAAAATGTTAACTTCTAACATATTTGAAGTTATTTCGAGTTGGCTAAATACACATATACTCAATTAGTTTGATATGATTTAATCATTTAGTCACTCAAACTTCATTAGAGACTACATGAATTTGCAAATCTTATATAACATCATGATATACATAGACATTTAGGGTGTGTTTGGTATGAAAGAAAACATTTTCCGGAAAATGTTTTCCAATTTTCTCATGTTTGGTTGGGTTAAATGTTTTCCAAATCAACTCATTTTCCTCAAATTTTAAGGAAAATGACTTCCCTTCAAAACTTAAGGAAAACATTTATTTTGTTCCTACCCTCAAACCAGCCCCCCAACCACCCCCCCAAAAAAATAAAATAAAATTTTAAAGCTTGTTTTTAAATTTAATCTTTTTACCCCACCCTCACCCCTACCCCCACCCCCTCCCAAAAAATATTAAAAATTACTTTTAAAAGATATTTCTAATTTCAAATTTTTATTTTTTTACCCCCCACCCACTACCCTCACTCCCCCCATCTGCTACCCTATCAACCCCCCTATCACCCTTCAAAAAGAAAAAAATTTAAGTTTGTTTTTAAAAAATATTTTCAACTTCAATTTTTTATTTTTTCATCCCGATCCTCAATCACCCACCCTCCCTCCCCGGCCAGCCTCCCCCCCCCAAAAAAAATAAATAATTGAGTTAGTTTTCAAATAATATTTTCAACTTCAAAATTTATTTTTTCACCCCTACGCTCGACCCGGCCCCCCAACCCACCCACCCCCTACTCGCCACCCCTACCCCAAAAAAAATAATTCAAGTTTGTTTTTAAAAAATATTTTCAATTTTAAAATTTTATTTTTTCACCATACCCTTGACCCCCCCCCACCCACATCCTACCCACCCCTACCAGCTCCCCCACCCCCTCACCCCCAAAAAAAATTTCAAGTTTGTTTATAAAAAATATTTTCAATTTCAAAATTTTATTTTTTCACCCCTACCCTTGACCCCCCACCCACCCACCCCCTACCAGCCCCCCCCCCCCCCCCAAAAAAAAATTTAAGTTTGTTTTTAAAAAATATTTTCAATTTCAAAATTTCATTTTTGCACCACTACCCTTGTCCCCCCACCCACCCCCCCTACTAGCCTCCCCTCCCCACCACCCCCAAAAAATAATTTTAAGTTTGTTTTTCAAATATATTTTCAATTTCAAAATTTCATTTTTTTACCCCTACCAAGCAGCCCCCACCCCACCCACCCCCAAATAAAAAATTTTAAGTTTATTTTTAAAAAATATTTTCAACTTCAAAATTATATTTTTTCACCCCAACCCTCGACCCCCCCCACCCACGCCCTACCAGTCCCCATCACCCAAAAAAAAAAATTTAAGTTTGTTTTTTAAAAATATTTTCAACTTCAAAATTTCAATTTTTCACCCCTACCCTCGACCCCCCCTAACCCACCCCCTACCACACCCCCCCCCCCACCCCCACCCCCAAAAAAAATTTAATTTTGTTTTTAAAATATATTTTCAATTTCAAAAATTATTACTAGTAAAAATAAAAGATATTTTTCAAAAATATTTTTCATTCATAAATCAAACAACTAAAAATCTTTTCCGGAAAATATTTTCTACTCACCAACCAAACATGAGAAAATAAGTCAAAAATCAACTTTTTTCCAGGAAAACATTTTCTAGGGAAACATTTTCCTTCATACCAAACACACCCTTAAATTATAATTCAATACACACCTTATATAACAAACATTTTTCGAAATATAAGTTGGAAAAGGGCCAAAATGATACACTAACACATCAAAAATGACTTAAATTTGTTATCCTTCCATGCACACACTTAAGTTATGAGCACTTTAGCATTTATCAATAACGCGCATTTAAGTATAAAAATAAATGCTTACAAGTTACAACTAGAGCCGTCAATATGGGCTAGGCCGGCCGGTTGGGTCGACCTGGCCTAATTCATAATTTGATAGGGTTGGGCTACGATTTTTGGAGCCCATTTAAGAAAAAGGATTTTTAGCCCGGCCTTAATAAGCCTGCCGATTTGTGGGGCTAGAGAAATATGAATAGGGACGGTCCGTGGGCCAAATAAAAATTAATTAAAAAATAAAAATAAAATAGAGTATTAAGAAGGCGGAATGACTTGGGAGGCCCCTATACTTGGCTTCGTTTGTCAGTTGAACCCTTCTACTCATCGTTTTGCCAAATGAACCCTTAAGCTTAATGAAACTCTATTTTTTAAACCCTTCTGACCATTGACCGAGCTTAGGTGGCACTGAAATGGCTTAGTTGGACAAATATGTAACCCCACGCGTTTTGAAGCAAGTGAATACAATATTTTTAATTTAAAATTATTAAAATTATAAGACAAAACAATAATAATATTTTTTTAAAAAAAAAAAATACTAAAAAACTCCTTGTTTACTACACCCCACCCCACCTCGCCCCACACCCCACCCCTTCTATCTTCTTCTTCAGGCCCACCCCACCCCACCCATTTTCTCTTCTTCTTCAACCTCAGTCCCCATCCTCCATCGCCCCTACTCATTTTCTCCTCTTCTTCTTCTTCAACTTCAGCCCACATCCACCCCCCCCCCACCCCCCACCTTACTCCTTTTCTCTTCTTCTTCTTTAACGTACACATTATCACAACAAAATTATCAAATAAAAAATTGAAAAAAGTTTTTTTTGCAAGAAATTATACCATTCACCATTTTTATAAACTTAATTCTTTAAGATCTACTACTTGAATTTACATATAAATATATGTTTTTCAATTTGAAGTTTTCTTGATATCTATTTTTATCAAATCAAAATAAATAGAACCATAAAGCATGTGTAAGAACTAATTATAATCTATCACATTTTGTGATTGAAGAAATTTTTGATTGTGAACTATGAAGAAAGATGAAAATGGTGATTTTTATTTTTGGGATGAAAATGATAGAAGGTGGGAAGGGAGTGAATGGTATAGAGAGAGAAAATTGCATTTTTAAAAAATATTATTTATTTTTAAATATTTAATTTCTAATGTGTCATTAAAATAATAATAAAAATAATGATGTGGTATTTCATGTGTAAAATGAGTGTACTACACGCACACTCATCAGATGCGAAAGGGTCTAAAATATTGTGTTTGAATGAGTTTAAAGTGTAACACCCCAGAGAATTTTCGAACTAAGACTCGAGCCATCCTTCATGTGGAGTGGGATTTTACCGAGGAATAAAAATTTATTGAGTGTTAAGTTAAGGTCCCTAGGTGTAGCACATTGAGTTCCAAGAAGAGTTGAATTGGAAATAGTCATTTTGGAAAGAATCTGGAAAATTTGGCTATGGAAAAAAGGTGAGTTTTTGGTCAACTTTGAGCAGTCGTATCTCCTAGCTCAAAATGATTTAGGTGAATTTCCAGTTATGTCTGGAAAGCCCTTGGAATGATCTTTCCAACGCCACCGAGTTTTCTTGATTCCGAGTTCGTATGAGTGACTTATGCCCTTTGGAAGTTGGGCTGTTGGCACAGTCGCACAGTGCAGTTTGTTTAGTCCGAAAATTTTAAGGGTATTTTGGTCTTTTCCCTAATCTTTTCTTTGGGTTATATTGAGGTGTTAGACTGATGTTTGGATCATTTTTGTCCCATTTTAAAGAGTGAGAGTAAGAGTGAGAGTTAGGGCTTGGAAGATAAGAGAGAAAGAAGAGGAAAAGAAGAGGAGAAAGAGAAGAAGAAGCTAAGGATCGTCGTGGATTTTTTTCGGGGGTGATCCCTAATCAGGTATGTGAGTCTTTAGTGTGGGTTTATCCTTTCCCCCCACATACCAAGCTCGTTTTTATGATTTGAGAAGAGATTGGATTTGTTGTTGAAGTTGTTGAAGTTGTTAGTTGTTGTTGATGTTGTTAGTTGTGTTGTTGAAGTTATTGTTGGTTGTGGGACAGGATTGGGCTGTGTATTTGAGTTGTGACCTATTGTATATTGAGGGATTTTATGATCCTTAGTGTTGGTTGGTTCATACCCCCACACACCAACTCGTTTTTAATTCCAAGAGAAGATTTATTGGTTGTTGAAGTTGTAGTGGTGTTGTGTTGAAGTTCTTGCTGATTTAGTACAGATTTCTGGCTGTGATTTTTGAGTTGAATCTATTGTATAATAAGGGTCTTTATGATTCTAAGTGTTGCTGCTGAAACCTTGAGGTTGAGAGGGTTTAGAATTGGAAAGAAACAAGGGGAAAAAGTCGGATTTTTGGGGAAAAAGGGGCTGGGCTGTTGCACCTCTCCTAGTGCCAAGGACACCAATCCTTCCCTTTCATTCACCATTTCTTTTTTTATACATGTTCCTAGGTATTATACCTATGTTTCCTAGTTGTTTCCAACACTCCAAGGTACTTCCAAAAGTCAAGTGAAGTTAGTTTCCAAGTCAAGTGAAGTTAGTTTCAAAGTCAAGTGAAGTTAGTTTCCAAATCAAGTGAAGTCAAGCTTAGAAGTAAGTAAGTCAAAACAAGTCTTTAAGGTTTTCCAAGAGTCTTCATTGATCGTTTTAACTTCATTTTAAGGCTCAAGTTAAGTAAAGAATGAAGAGTTCCAAGTTAAGAGTTTCAAGTTGAGTAAAGAGTTGAGTTCATTTCTCAAAGTTATTAGGGAACTATGTATTCCCAAAGAAGTTTTAAAGAAATGTTTTTACATTTAAACAAGGTTGGAAACTGAGATTTCCAAAAGAGCCTTCGGGCTAGTTTTTGAGTAATTATCTCATATCGGCAGGAATAAATATGTTTTAAAAACATAAGAGCCAGTACATTTTTGGGAGTAGTATCGAGCACCGAATTGGGGGAGCGTTCAAAGAACCCACAGCCCCCATAGAACCATGTTAGCCACCATGGGTAGAAAAGGATCATACTTTTTAGATGAATCCTTTTCAGATTAGACTAGTGGATCCATTAGGCAGTTCAGGTCTTATACCTTTGGCCGGGTATAAGATGCTCTGGCAGCGTGAGGTCGATCGCTGTACCATCACTATAGCTCTTATGTGATGGTTGTCGGTTAGAGAAACTCCCACAGCAGTTATTGTATTTTCATACACAGAAATTATTGTATTTTATATACATCAGTTCAATTGTATTTCTATATACATCTCAGGCTTATTGTATCCTTGTATACACTCAGAGTTTATAGCATGTTTTAAACAGTCTTTCTTTATATCGCACTTGTTTTAAATTGCCTTATATTGAAAGAAGTCAGTCAGGTTGAGTTCAGTTATTCAAGAGTCGAGTATCCTTGAGTTAAGTATCTTTGAGTTAAGTATATATCTTGAGTTAAGTATATATCCTTGAGTTGAGTATCTATCTTGAGTTGAGTATCTATCTTTGAGTTGAGTATCTATCTTTGAGTTGAGTATCTGTCTCTGAGTCCAGTATCTATCTTCTGAGTTGAGTAAGTTTGAGTAGTTTTGGGTATTCCTTGAGTTGAGAAAGTTTGAAAAGAGGTAAGTTATTCAATTTATTCCAGTTTTTCTTCTAGCCTATGTTGTTTAGCTTTCTAGCTTACATACTCGTACATTCCACGTACTGAGCCATTTGGCCTGCATCTTTTTATGATGCAGACACAGGTATTCAGGATCATCAACAGGAGATTCGTTGATACATCCGGGAGTTCCAGTTAGCTATGACAAGCCTCTTTGCTTCCGGAGGATTTCATTTACCTTTTAGTTGTATCAGTTGTTAGGAGGTCGTGGGTCTTGTCCCGGCTTCCATCTTTATCAGTTAGAGGCTTCATAGATAGACAATAGAGTTTCAGAAGTCTCTTCATTTATTTTGTTAAATGTTTTGAAGACTAAAGTTGCCTTTTATGGCGAGTTGTATATATATTCTATTATACAGAGTTTTCTTTTGAGTTAAAGATTTATAAAGTTGAGTTTATAAACTCTTATTCAGTTTTAAGCTCTTGTATTCTTAAGTTAGTATTCCTCTTGGAGTCAGCCAGGATGAGGGTTCGCTTGGGGACCAGCAATGGTCTTCGAGTGCCGGCCACGTCCAGGGTGTAGGCTCGGGGCGTGACATAAAGATTTAGTTGGCAAAGTCATAAGTACAGGGATCCAACTTATAAATCGAGTCAAGTACAAAGGTCTCTCAGGCCATTCCGCCTATTAAGAATAATAAGAGTCTAAACTCAAAATATTTTTAAAGTTTGAAATATTACAATTTAAATACAAATTATGTTTATAAAATATGTGCTAAATAAAAAAAAAATCCCTAAAATTTCTAGGGAATCACTACATTGGCCGTAGCTATGAAATATTATGTTTTATTATGATCATTGGAAAACAATTAGGTTAATATTTCTATTTAGCTATTTATGCTTTTACTTGAAATCAAACTTAATAAATGTTATAAAAATAATTTTATTTGTGGATTTGATTAACAAGTAGTAACACTAACACCATGTAATATTGTCTTGTCGATATTTATGATAATATTTTTAAATTATAATTTAATTTAAAAAATTATAAAAAATATATGTTTAAGAAAAGAGGGCTAGCTCGACAAAGCCCGTAGCCTGCGTACTTGTGGGCTGAGCCAGCCATTTTCTGGCCCACACCAAAAATGGGTTAGCCCGGCCTGACTCGTAAAATTCAAAGCCGATTAGCCCAGATGGGGTGGGCCAGCCCATATTGGCAGCTCTAGTTAAAACTAATTAAATGATTTGATCATTTTATAAGCTTACTCAAACACCCTTTGATCGTACTTACACCATTGAAGACCATAAAGCCAAGGTCAAGATCAATGTCATTGATAGTAACGGTCTTAGCATGGCCGCCTAGATAATGTTCCTTCTCATAAACCACAACTTTGACACCAGATTTTGCCAATTCATATGCAGCAACTAGTCCACTTATCCCTGCTCCAACCACTGCTACTTTCATGTTTTTGAAAATATAAGCTTCAAAGTTACAAACAATTAAGAGTTTGATGAAATATTGGTGTATTGAGGCATAAATTTATAATGGATAAGAAATGATGTGAATTGTGATAGAGTACTAGCACTAGCTATAATGTCACTCAGGGGCGGACCCACCTTATATCAGGGGGCTCAGCCGACACGGCTTCGTTGAAAATATTTAGTATTTATTTTTATATATATAAATCTGGAAAAATAAAAACAGAAGTATAAATATTATAAATGACACTACTTGAATAAGGAAGTGCCGTGGCTCGTGTGGTTTACGACGCGAATGAAGCAGTCATGTCTCTCAACACCGCACCCGAGTTCGAATCTCTGTAGGTGCGTTTTTTGCTTTAATTTTTGAGCGTTTTTTCAGAGAAAAAGAGAAAAGTTTAAGAAGGATTTGAACCTCCAACCTCCCTATTCCTACTCAAATTAGGCTAAAACAACCCAGTTGAACTAGAATACTACATTTAACCTACTATAAAAAATTTATTAACTATTCAAATCAGAATTGGATACAATAATAAGTTATAAAGTAAAACCTAAGTCTAAAAAGAAACCTTCAAGTGTTGTTGCGGTCTGCGTTGATAGGTTGATGCTACTATCGTTTTTTCTTTAATTGTAAGTTCTCTTTTCTTTTTATCTCCCATCTTTTTAGTTTTAATTGAAATTTCTTGAAATATCAACTTTTATAGATTTAATTTCTTGAAATTGTTTAGAGTTATCTAATTTATTTAAATTTGTAATTCAGACCAACTCAATGGAGATATATTATTCTAAAGTATCTCACAATCTTTCAAAATCAAGTTTAACACCTCAAAATTCTTTTAACTTAGAAGAAGAAAATGGTAATGAGTTGGAACAAGGTCGACAAAGTGAAAGAGTTGATTTAACTTCCTTAAAACTTAATACTGGAGAAAGGTTACCAATTCGAAAGTATCATTCGAATGAGCGTGATGCAATAACAAGAATGTATCTTCAAAATGGTCCTTTTCAACCAAAAAATCATCAATTTCCTTAGTCGAATTTTTGTCTAGCTGGTGTCCTTCATAATAACAAACATGTGACTTGGTTTGTTCAGTATTCTTTAGTTGTTCTTTCTTTGTCCAAAACAATATATTTCAAAATATTTTCAATTTAAAAAAATATAATTAAAAAAAGTTTTTAAAAACTTAATTAATGAGATCTTTTTATGATTTACTAGCTCTGGAATAATCAAGGAACACACATTTGAGAATACGAGTGGCTATTATCATTCACATGATAAATTTGGGTGTTCATGGACAATGACATGAAAGAGCAAGAACAACTAGCTACTACTGGCTAAAGAATGAATAGTACATAGGTCATCAAATTGAGTATCTTATACTTTATTTGCACATGTACAAACACAATAGAGAAAGTGACAATTGACCAATTTATAAGAAATCATCTAATAATATTGAGGAACTAATTATATCAAGAACAAATATTATAATTAAAAATATGTAGAAGATAAAGGTTATTAAAGAGTAAGAATTTAACAATATTTCAAGTTCTTAATATATGTGACACACAAATAAGTTATCTAGTATATAACAAAGAAGAAATAGTAGAAGAAGAAGAAGAGGGAAATCTTGAAGAACAAAGGCACTGTTAGTTGAGAAGTTATGAATCTCAAAATTTGTTGATCCATGAAAGACATAATTCTTACCCTTTATATGGCTTAGGCATAATACATGACCCTTAACTTGGTTCAGCTGTCAGTTATGACCTTTAACTTTGGGTGTGCATAAGTAGGCACTTAAGCTAGTATAAAATTAAACAAATAGACACATTCATTCTATATGGGATCCTACATGACAATTTTGTGTACAAAGTGGTGTCCTACGTGTATTATATATGCCTTGTAGGATACTGTGTCTACTTGTTCAATTTTAAGTTGAAGGTATTATAGTAATTTAACATTCAAGTTAAGAGTTCATCCTTTTAAGGTAGTATATATATATATATATATATATATATATATAGAGAGAGAGAGAGAGAGAGAGATAGTTAGATAGATAAATAGATAGATATTATGACGTAATTTTACCTATTGCTTCTTAACCTTTCACATTCTTTATTCATAAAAGTTTAAATGTTTCTATATTAATACTTTTCTATTCTTTGTTAATGGTTAATACAAGAAAAAAATTGGAGAGTCCCTACTATTATAACTACTGCTACTTGTAACCTTTCTTGACTCTTCTAAGAGTCTTCTTCTAATTACTTTTAGTTGTTTTTATCTCCTATATTTTTGTCTAGCTGGTGCCCTTCAGAATAACAAACATGTGGCTTGGTTTGTTCAGTATTCTTTAGTTGTTCTTTCTTTGTCCAAAACAATATATTTCAAAATATTTTCAACTTTTTAAAAATATAATTAAAAAAAGCTTTTACAAAACTTAATTAATGAGATCTTTTTATGATTTACTAGCTCTGGAATAATAAGGAACACACATTTGAGAATACGAGGGGCTATTATCTTTCACGTGATAAATTTGGGTGTTCATGGACAATGACATGAAAGAGCAAGAAAAAGTAGCTGCTACTGGCTAAATAGTGAATAGTAAATAGGTCATCAAATTGAGTATCTTATACTTTACTTGCACATGTACAAACACAATAGAGAAAGTGGCAATTGACTAATTTATAAGAAATCATCCAATAATATTGAGGAACTAATTATATCAAGAACAAATATTATGATTAAAAATATGTAGAAGATAAAGGTTATTAAATAGTAAGAATTTTACAATATTTCAAGTTCTTAATATATGTGACACACGAAAGTATTATAAGTAACAATAATTGATAATTCAAAATGTTTAAAAGATCTATAAAATATTTACGGTCAAAGATAGAATCTTGAAATCCAAAAAGTGCCACATAAAATAATATAGAAAGAGTACTTTTTTTTTCATAAAAATATTTTCTTCAATACCAAAAACACCCTAATCCTTTTCTAATTTTCTTCAATACCTCTATTTAAAGTGGTGTAATTTAGTTTCAATTTCTATTTATAAGGAAATTAATGAAAAAGATGAAATTTGAGTTATCAACAAAGTTGTTACCATGAAGAGTGAAGCTAATCATAATAAGATTATACTACCTCCGTCTCATATTAGATAGGCATCTTATTAGAAGTGTTTGTCTTATATTATTTGATCACTTATTAAATCAAAATATAACTTAATTTTTTCCCCCATTTTACCACTAAAATAATATGAATTCGGAATTTAAACAAATTTTGAAGACCCAGATTTTTTCAATAGACTAATTAATATGAACAAAAAGTAAAATAATAAAATTAATCAATCTATTAATAATTTATTAATAACCATGTAAAATAGAAAATGTCAATTTTTATTATAAAGTCAGTAACACATGCATTTTGAATAAGTCATTTCGATTTTTTAAACCACATCTATGCAAGGGGACTTTAAGAGAAACGTGGCATGATGGATACCTATGACTACACTTGGTAAACTAGAGTCCCAAGTGACAAATCAAGAGCAAGGAAAAGTCCAATTTAATTTGTCCTTTTAAATTTTAAATTTTATTTTTCACCCCGCATCTTTATTTATGTTGAAATCCGACTAAATTTTGAGTCGTGTAAAAAAAAAACAAAAAATAAAGGATATTTATCCATGCAAATGTGCTTTTCAGACATGATATTAATAAGAGCCGATTTGGATTGACTTTTCAGTTTTGGCTTATTTTTATCAGTTTACCTTAAAACTATTTATAATTTTTTTAAAAAAAAATTATTCAAATACTATAAAACTGCTTAAAACTATTTTAACTTTAAAATACTTAAAACAAGTCAATGCAGAACACATGTTGATGCCATTCTTCTTATATTAAGTGTTTCATTGATTTTAATGTAAATATTTATTTTCATGACTTTATAAGAAATTAATGAAATTTATTATGATACACTTTCAACTCATCTTAATAGAGGTTTCCAGACACACCGTCAAATAGTAGTTATAACTTCATGATTTATTGAGATGTTTTCCATTTGACTATTTAAGTAAAGATTTGAATTTACGTGCATCTTTCAAATTCAGACATTCAACGTATAAATCTTAGTGTCATGCTAGACCATGAATTAGTTTGGAGTCATTTCTAATTTTAAGTAGTGTATTATGACTAGGGATAGTCTCGAATTAAATGTTCCTATTTCATAGAGTATAAGAGAATGCCATAATTAAGCATGATACATATCTTTCATTATTTGCAAACAAAGGGAATTATTATAAACTCTAATAAGCTAAAGGAAAACCAAATGCTTCAACATTGCCTGACCCTGAAAATACAATCTACAATAATAAATAGATCAAATTAATTATATATTTTACATGTCAAAGTAGTACTCCCATGTCCTGATGAACTCGTCATCGAATCCTTCATGATTTATTGAGATGTTTTCCATTTGACTATTTAAGTAAAGATTTGAATTTACGTGTATCTTTCAAATTCAGACATTCAACGTATAAATCTTAGTGTCATGCTAGACCATGAATTAGTTTGGAGTCATTTCTAATTTTAAGTAGTGTATTATGACTAGGGATAGTCTCGAATTAAATGTTCCTATTTCATAGAGTATAAGAGAATGCCATAATTAAGCATGATACATATCTTTCATTATTTGCAAACAAAGGGAATTATTATAAACTCTAATAAGCTAAAGGAAAACCAAATGCTTCAACATTGCCTGACCCTGAAAATACAATCTACAATAATAAATAGATCAAATTAATTATATATTTTACATGTCAAAGTAGTACTCCCATGTCCTGATGAACTCGTCATCGAATCCTAAAGCACGAATTTGGCTATTGACACAGTTATGTATCAATAGTCAAGTTAACGGTATTGGCGTAGCCAGAAATTTCAGGAAGGATATCCAAGTTATAGTCATTTGGTTACCTTTTGTTTTTCAGGAAGTTTTTTCGCCAACATCTGAGTTGTCTGATAGTAATGAATACTTATCTCTTCCAGATTCTTGTTAGAG